TAAACCACCTTTGCAATGAAATTATTAGTTTTAGATATGGCCATTCACGAGTAACAATTATTTATTGGAGAGAATGAATCAGAGACAGCCAAGGGTCGAAAGAGCAGCATGTGCGTGCATGCATGTAGCAGGAAAACGGATGCAGTGCGCCGAGCTGTTCCCCTCATCTGTACTTTACCTATCGATCCCATCGAGGGTGGCGAAGCAGGTCTGCGAGCTGGATGAAGGCATCTGTCCTTTTTATCTATGGATCCGTTTGACCAGGGGGAAGAGATCGAGGGTGGTGAAGCGGCTCTCCGCAAGCTTCGAAAAGCGGGGGAGGGCGTGGTGTCGGGCTTGTCGTGTGCGCCGAGAGTCTCCATCACGATGAACTCACTCGCAGTTGCTGACGATGACCCACTATCCAATAGCCAGCGACGGGAACGAAAGCACGAATGCTGCGGCTTGCCTCAGTGCATGTGTGATGGCGTTGCTTGAACTAGAAATCAGGTGTTATCGAGATGCATGCAGTCGAGAACTAGCGGCAAGAAGCGAGAGCCTCGAGAGCGTCCTCCTTAACTTCGGCAAGGACAAGAGAAGAGAGGCTTCCTTAAACTACCACAGAGAGATTAATAGTTCTAACTCACAAATCGATCTCACAGCAGAGAGAAGGAGCCAATCGATCTCGCCATCGAATAAACTATCCCAAGAGATGAGCTAATCCGGAAGGACCACATAGGGGGAAGCATCGGACGTCCTCATCCATGTGACCGGCACCACTAACAACCGCATCGAGTCGGCACGCTGCCATAAGCATCCTCTCTCACGGGAGGCCAGCCTTTGAGCCAAGTGTAAGCAATGACAGGTGCTCCTCGTCCTCCATGATACGACTTGCACCGAGCTTAAACTAATGATACATAGAGACAACAAGCATCTCGCGGACTATTTTATTCGCTAATGCCACTGCAATATGCGTATGACTCGCATATTTGTAGACGATAAGATAAAGTGTGAACGATTGAACTTAAGAATTCGATAAGAATTCTTCCGATGAATCCATAAGTTACTGTTGCATAGTTTGCTTAGATTCATATGGTCCTCAGAAATCATCCATGGACAACAGCATCCCCATGTTCCGATAAAAAGCTCTCGATGAGAGACACATCTATATTTAAGAACATTATTTATGTCTTGTTCCATCTTTTAGCTTGTTCCGTCGCATTTGGATTTATGACTTCCTAGTTTTGAAATCTCTGCATGGATACTAGTGACTCTACAGCCATTGGATTGATGATTTGTCAAATACAAAACATGAACTTATCATCTGTAAATGGTTTGAGGTGTCATACCTTAATTCTTGCACTATAATTTCATCTCATCTTTCAGGGCTCGATCATAATAGCTCTGCTATCTTGGACTAGTTGGGGCAATGTTACGTGATCGATTCTATAACACTCCAATTAGTCCAACATCGAAAGTGGACAATGACTATGATTAACTTATATGGGTCTGAGTATATTATAATAAATTTAGCTTAAATATTTTGATTAGTGATTTGAGATCAAAACAGAGTTAGTTAGCTCATCGGACTGATGTATCTATGCCAGCAATCCTATATAATGCATTTAAAGGATCATTCTCTTCATTTGCGGCATATGCAAAATATGTGGTATGTGTAAAATGGCCAACCCTAACTTTGAGCGTTTATTTCCTTGGTAAAGTATTTTTGTCTAAATACTCTCATGCTTGAATTCTTTGTCATCTAAGGATATTAGTCTGGTGATTAAAAATACTTGATTACCCACCAACATTCTCTATCTTTATAAGTGTTTGTGCCTATTTTTATCCCTCATGTAGAAAATATACTTTGTCTCAATTTCATTATTATTTTCTTTGTCTAGTTTTCATATTTGTCTGATAATCAATTCAATGTTTTTCTTGATGAACAAGAAAATTATTTATTCTATCCAAAAATTTCAGAATAAAATATATAAAGACAATCGATAATATCATCGTTAGATCTTTAATCACCTTTGGTTTTTTTGGACTTTGATATATTGATGCTAAATGAGGATATCGAGAGATCAATAATAAAATGTAAATAAGAAATAATAAATTATATATATATTGATATTTGTTACTTATATAAAATAAGAATGTATATATATATATATTACTTATATTTAAAAATAATAATTAACTTTTAAAAATATGTGAGATCAAATTACAAGTACCATCGAGTAAAAATAAAAAATAAAAATAAAGCATAATTGCACTTATAAACCTTTACATAAATAATCTATAGATCCACTGGAAAAAAAAAAAGGTGTGATGACTCTAGTCAAAGTGGTATCTCACATCCTACCTCCTATATAAACCCATAGATACGTTTGGTACTTATGAAATGGCCTACTAAAGTGTCAAACATGAGATCAAGTTATGTGTACTCCTAAATCAATGGAATCTCAATCGCAAATCTGCTTATGTATATACCCTCACAAATAAATGCTCTATGAATCTAAGAGAGAGAGAGAGAGATAGAGAGAATCTCAAAAAATATTCTTTCATATCCTTCCTCCCATCCTTACAACTAATAAGTCTTTCCATATAACAATTCCATATGATGGAAGGACATTGGTTTCAAGAATCCAAAAAAATATTCATCGATTATAATAAGCTGTAGGCAATGAAGGAACAGTGGTTCATTCAATAATAAGAACGCAAATATTGCCGACAAATAAAAAGAAGGAAAACCTTATTTTACTAATGGCATTGAAATATTACCCAATTTCCAATATGATGTTTTATATATCGTTTTATCTATTCCTCCTTGATTTTTAGTATTATTTGACATAAAAGATGAGGGCATTTCTATTGAATAGGAAAAAAGAGACACTCCAAGTAAAAATGAATTAGGAGGTATCATCGAATAATAAATAAATAAATAATATGAGTTTTTTTTGGGGGTAAATTATCCAAAATCAATTGAAAATTTAATGTATTATTATTCAAATATTACTTAATAGAGATTAAATATAATGAGATAAGTATATTAAGCGAAAATTTGGTGGGCAATACGAAATCACAACGCTTGGGCTTCTTTTGGCGGCAAAACCCGCAGATTTCCAATCGACCCGCTAAATTACCAAATCCGTTTCCTTTCGCTCGATCCCTCGTTCCCCCTTTTTCCCTTCACCGCCTCCTCCGAGTCCTCTCCCTCCTTCCCCGCTCGCCAGTTCCAACTTCGAGGCTTGGGATGGAAGGAAGCTTCGACGACGACGATCTCCCCCTGCCCCGCAGCCAGTCCGTCTCTCCGGTTTCGAAGCCCAAGCTGTGGCGCCTCAAGAAGGCAGGCCAATCTGGCCCTCGCGATATCCGCACCGCCGATCCCGTTCTCTCTCCTTCCCGGGTCCATCCCGTGGAGGCTCCGGCGATGGCGGCGACGCCAGCTTCCGAGGAATCACTGCCCGGATCGCATGTAATGGAGACGGAGACGGGTCCGGAACCGGTTCTTGATCCCTTGTTCCCGGATCTGGCTCGATGTGAACCGAATTATATGGAGACTGAAAGAGAGAAACAGGGTTTTGATTGGGGAGAGGAAAGTGGAAGCGCTGGAGTGCTGGGGGCGAAGGGTGGGTACGAGGACGTGAAGTCCGCGAAGAAAAGGCTGAACTCGGAGGAAGAAGTCGAGACTACTCGCAAGTATAAGAAAAACAAGTCAGGTGAGAAGCCCAAAGAATCTGCTCGGGAGAAGCGAAGGCTTGAAAAGGTAGGCTTCGTTTGGTAATTTATGCTTCGAAGGTATTGTATGTCGCTGATCTTTGATCTTTTAATTCATCCTGGTGGACAGGAAAGAGAGGCCGAACTGGTTCGAATTCATGCTGAGTCGCAGCGGTTGTTGCGTGGTGTGCATCACATTACTTATTCTTTCTGTATTTAAGTTTGTTCCATTTTTGCCCACTTTGATGAAAGCTTTAACATATTCCTATCCGCTTTTACAATCAAAATTTAATGCCAGAAACTAGTAATGTTTCTTTTACGGCTTCCGCAATTGTTTGGATACCCATACCACCTCTTTTAGAGAAGATCAGATGCAGGAAGCGAGAGTTGTTGGAAAAGTGAGTATCGATCTATATATTTGCTTTAAAGGGGAAACGTTAGCAAGTTAATGCCATAATTTGTTGAAACAAAATCTTTATCGTAGTTCAATTTGCTGTTGTTGCAGGTATGGTTATTTCAATCATCCGGAATCTACAAATGATTCCACAAGTAATAAGGTTGATATTTGCCATGACTTTGATCTTGCTAGGCCTGAGAATGGGAGAGGCGATGATGAACATTTAAAAGAGGTTATTCCATAGTACTCTTAACAAGTTCAATACTATTTCAGGAGTACAAAAATTGAGTTCAAATTTTATTGAAAACTAATGAATTTATCATGTTTCAGAATGAATTTCCACATGACAGATCTTTAGACGTGGGTGAAATAGGAAGCATCCCGACTGATTGTGAAAATGATCTTCATAATCAGGTTATCAGTTACTTTCTTTTATTCATTGCCTTGAACAAAACCCTTTTTACTCTCATTGTTCTAACAAAAATTGCTGTCAATATGGTGTATTCATGTTTTCCTTGATGGTTGCACCTGGTTATATATATCGGTATATCCAGTGAGTCCAAGTATATCACACATGTCAACATCTATATGATGTTCAGCATTTTAATTAGTTAATGCCTAAAATTTTGAACAATATTTTCTTTTGAAATAATCAGTTGCCTTTCCTATGAGCATTATTTTGCTGAATCTAGTAGATGTTTGTTGCTCTGTAGTTTATTTGACAAAGGGAATTCAAGGGTAGCTTACTTTCTTGAAAGGTTCATGACTAGGGTTTTTGCTAGGCCCATTAAGTCCATAATTGTTATTTGTGTACCTGTACCATTTAGGTCGAGGTATATCGGTGTTTTCCTGTAATGCTATAACTAGAAGCTCATTCCAAATTTTGTAGGACAGCTTTGAATATTAAATATGCAAATGAGTCTGTTTATAGGAAACAGTCCGCAAGAAGACTTAGAAGGTGATTTCAATTGTGTATACTGGCTTTCCTTGTAAGTTGGTAACAAGGAAATTTTTTAGTGATCTGTGGGTGATAGCATAAACATGGAGTAAAAGTGTCTAGAGGCATGGGTTTGTTTTGGTGAAGTTGAGTGTGAACTGAGAATTCATGACAGTTATATACCTGTGTGAGTTCAGTTGGCAGTAAGAAAACTGAATATTTTAAGTAAATTAAGGATCCAGTGCTTTAAGTTTTGAACTGGTTGGCTCTAGGAAGTCAGATAACATTATTGAAGCATGCCAGGAGGAGATTAGTGATGGGCTTGCCAAAATACTCTCCTAACTCAAAGCAAGCAACTATAGCATAAATTGAAAGGGATGATTCAAAATCATTCAACGAAGATGCAGACATGTGTCTATTACCCAATATCTTGTTCTCTCTATATATAAGTTCTGTGGCAGTTGACATTCTGAAGGCACATTAAGCTCAAATCCCCAGCATCACTACACTAGCAAAAGAGAAATAGTTATTACTGTTTCCAATGTTAAAAGAGTTGAAAGAATGTGAAAGAAGATTAATACATCAGTAAGCAAACACGTGTACTAAATGTAATTTTCAATTATTTTGATGAAAAGAAAAGTAAGATTAACTCTTTCTAATAAAATGCAGGCTACTAATCCCAATTCTGAAGATGCAAATCAGACTTTGAACACTGACAAGGAGGTCTGATTTTTGACAATCAATTAATACTGTTGTAATATCTTATCCTAAATCAATTCTCATTTTTGGGTACGTTTTTCACAGGTTATTTCTAATGATTCTGACCAAAGTGGAGAACATAACCAATTGGTTTACAATACGAATGATATGTTAAAAGATACCTTGCCGTCACTGCCAACTTCCACCCCTAAACTTGTTTCCACGGATGTGTAAGTGTTATGAAATTTTCTAGTCCTCTTCTAAAGATTCAAACAAAAAAATGATCTGAAAAGGTTGCCGTAAATAAATTATCCAGTGCCATGCACGAAACAATTTGGATGCATGGCACATTTGTTTCTTTTTGTCTGATGTAATGCATGGAAATTATCGTGATACATGTTAATTGGTCTCGTATGCAAAGTAATTCTTGTAATTTAGAAGTTTATTTCACCTATTTGCATGTCTATCTTTATGAAACAAGTATTAAATTTCCTTTTCGCACTTGTGCCACTGAAGTCAGGGTCATGATAAGTACCTTGTGGCATGTTCTTCAGTTGCATGGTTTATAAAAGCATGCACAAGCCTCTCTTTCTGTCAATGAAGCTTATATTTCTTTCTGAAAAATTAAAAGATGAAGCTGTTGTTGCTTGCATACTAGGGTAGCACTGGGATACATTATGGTTTCCTTGGATTTGCTTTGACTGCATGACACTTAAATATCTACAGAACTACATTGATTCATTGGTACAATTAGGTTCATGAAAAATTGTCTTTATAATTCTAATTAAAAGTTTAAACGAACAGGGATTGTTAGTCTATGTCCTTTTTGAAATGAAAGAAAGATACATGCCAAATATTTTGTTATGAGGATAATTTTACAGTTTCTCACAGTAACTTGTTAAAGTTTGACACCCAAAACAATATCATTAAGCATTCCAAATTCAAAATTAATATTCTTCTGAACAAGATTAAATTCATTTCAATTTGCAATTTGATCATGTGCAACATCAAATTCATTTATTGTGCAAGTTATTTGTTTATATATTTAATTTATTTCCATCACAAATATTTCTTGTATATTTTACTGTTGATCAGTAGTTAGGTCATTATTAAGGTCTTTTTATAGGTTTGTATTGGTCAATAAGTTTGGGTAAAGAAATAGATTTTCATCAATCAATAAGAATTAATATTAAATTTAATCTGAATGAGATTTTTATATTAACATCTTGACCATGGCTATTTTAAACATAGTGATGAATTTGTTCTAACAAAAAATATGACACATTAAATATTTAAGTGACCAAAGTAATTTCAAGGGGCAGAGAACCCAATTATATCTTTATGTAGCCTTATTATCTTTATTCAGTCCATGAAGATTAAACAGGAAGATGGTTGTAATTAAGATGTATAATGTGCAGACTTGCATCCTGTGCATTCCAACTCCCTTTTTGGCATTTTATATCATGTGGAACAAGCAGTCTTAAATCTATACTGAATCACTAACATAGTCACGGTATCTGGTTATGACTTTGTATGCGGTTGCTGATGTGATGTATCTTGTTAAATATTGTACAATCTGACAAACAACTGTTTTTAGGCTAAATATAGAAGTTGCTACTGGTAGTTATTTAAAGTTGCAAATCATATAAAATAGTAGGTGGTTAGCACAAAGCATCCTATTTCTGTAGCAAAGTTATATTTTTCCAAAAAATGCTTTAGAAGGTAAAATGTAAATAAATTAAGAAAGAAAACTATGAGGTAATGATTTATTTCTATTTAATGAACTTCTGATGCTTAATGCCTTAAATGTAAAGGTCAAATCCAAAGATATTCTCTTATTGTTAAAAATTGTCATTCTTTGAATAAATGCTGTTCATGAATGCCCTTGAATTTGCCTTTAGATGTTCTGAAAAATTCATTTTCATAATGATTCCTCAAATAAAAGCAACTGCTTAGATGAAGTATTTTATACATGTTCAGGAAGTATGCATGCGATATCAGTAGGCAGCATATATCTGATGAGGATATTGCTATAAGATTGAATGTTGCCAATAAATAATAAGCCATGTGTTCCACTTACCTCTGCAACACTGTGATGATATTCATATATGGGATTAGGGAAATACTTTCCCGGCCATCCTGAAATATACTTTTGCAGCTTTGTTTTGCTTTAATATATTTTCTTTGAACAGAATACAAGTGTTGTGATGTGCAAAAAGAGGTCAATTTATAGTTAAATGACCAATCACCCCTGTTTACCTGTTTCTATGAATGCATTAGGAGAAAAAGATCTAACAGCAGCTTTATCATTTTAAACAAAATTATTTTTGAGGCAACAAACTCTGAAGTTTGTGATGTAGTATTACCTAATATTCTAATATCTTCAAATTTAGAAAAGCTTTAAGCAAGGATGCAACTTAATAGGCATCGTGCGATTCAGGAAATGGCATTCCTATTCTCTCATGTTTTTCAATCACACATGCCTGTGGCATTATATATATGTATATACTATAAAGGCATGTGCAACCATCTTACTTCTTTCATGGTCCTTCTTTAAATTTTTTGTATGATATATATACTCATGCCATTATGATAATGATTTTGCTGATATTCTGATTTATTAAGTAAAGAGCTTCTGAAATTTTAATGAACCACATTAAAACTTTTAGCAAGCTTCATGTGCTAATAGCCAATATAATTTGCTCGATAGTGGTCATCCTTCCAGTTCATCATCATCAGAAGATGATGACGATGAGAATATTGATCTTCAGCCACACAAGGTTGTTAATATGGACTCATGTCCAGAACATGGACCTGTTAAAGCTTTTGTTGATGATGAGGCTGAAGAAGAAGATGATAGTGACCATGATCTGATGAGATTTCAAGAAAATGAAGAAGATGATGAAAGTGATGATGATGACGTGGTTAATGATCTGATTGCAACCGACTTTAAGGAAGCACCAATAGATCATGAAAGTCGCAATCTGCTTCATCAGAAGTGGGTTGAGCAACAGGATACTGCTGCAACAGACAATTTCCTGCAAAGATTGAGATTTGGTCAGAAACAGAAAGAGCCAAATTTTTTTCACGAAGAAGAGGAGAATGAAGAATTTAGTGAGAAATCTGAAGAGGAAGAATCATATGACCTACCTCAAACTAATGCCACCCGTAAAAATGCAAAATTGGCAAAACAGATGGTTGCACAAATGTTCACCGATGATCAGGATGCTTATGTATCGTCAGATGATGAAGAGATTGAGCGTGCGTTAACTCGTCAGCGCTTACTGAGGCAGAATGTAAGTTTCTATAGTCTCCTTTGTCTTTATGTTTGGTATCTGATAGCAGTTCTGACAGGCACCCCTCAAGAACACACAAATTTTGCAGAAAGTTTTAAAAGTTACTCAATATGTTTAGTACATTGTCGTTGTTTCTCTTTGAGCATTTATTAGCCCTGCATGTTCGTAATATATGTCATGTTAAGCAGTCCATTCAATTGAGATTCTTCTTTTCTTGCATTCAAATATATAAGTACAAGGTAACTCTTAATAAGATCTGATTTATAACCCTATAAGTACAAGTAACTCTTTGCATTTATAGGTTTAATTAGGCAGGGAAATTGTGTTGCTTCTCTCGCTGCTTTGTTGTCCTCTACTTTTGCTACCTCATCCACCTCATTGCATCACTGTCATTGCCTCATTGTGTCATTGTGGCTGTCACATCTTCCTATTGTACACATAGTGGTCTCCTCTTCCTTCACATTTGCATCCTCCTCTTTTTCTTTCCCTTCCACTTCCTCTTCCTCCTCTTCTCCTCTTCCTTCTCTCTTCTATTTTTTTCTCTTTGGTCCATGTAGATTGGTTTGCTGACATACCTTGCATTGGTGTGTTGGTATGTACCAAACATGTACTAGTTGGGTTAGGAACTGGTACAAGTTTTGGTCTGAAAATTGAAAACTTGATTTGGCAAGGGTTTGCTAATTAGGATTTGTGGAATTTAAAGGATTATCTTTTCAGGAGCCTTTAAGATGCTATCTCTCATTCTAATTTTATTTGTGCATGTCATGAATATATTATGAAAACTTTCTTCCTCCAAATGCATATTTTCAATCTGTCGGTATTCAAACACAAACAATGAAACTAGGTCAATCTTGGAAATTTAACAAAAATGACTATTGTCTCAAATGATCTTTATACTTAGTTTTAAAATAGCTTCAAATTGGTCAATGTAGAAAATTTTCAGTTTGGTCCTAGAATCTTACCCTTTTTTGTTATCGTTTGTCTCTCACCCATTAAAATTGCCAACATGGCTAATGGAGGCATCTATTGAGAATAAATTATAGTAGAAAATAAGGTTTGCAATACTGTTTGGTACAGAACAATATGAGCGGTTATTATTGGATTGATAGTTTACAGGTATACAGACCAGTGTAAACTAAGTGATATGCTTTGTTTGGGCTTGTATCGTCCTGTATAGGATGATACATGTCCTATGTTCACTATATTTTCAGGATTTTTTTCAAAATTCAGTGTGCAAATCGGAACAGACTGGAATGGTCCAATATCTATACAAAGAAATTGTGAATTATGATATAGAGTTTAAAGTTTTGTCCTACAATAGTTGATTGTCTTTGATTGCCATGTCAAACTATATTCCTCCCCTATTTCCTATTGTACCTCTTACTTCCGCTCCAAATCTTTCCAACTTCCATAACCTTCATTCAACTGTTTTGTCCTTTTATTCTTCCAACACCACCCCTCCCTATCACCACTAACATGTCCGCTTTCTCCATCACCATCTCTCCCTCCTTGATCATCACCTCTTTCACTACCACTGCCACCCTTTCCATTGCTTTCCCTTAGATCCTGCCAACAGCCACCTACTTCATCATCAGCTCCTTCACTACCACTACCGCCCTTTCCGTTGCTTCCCTCTAGATCCTGCCAACCTTCACCTCCATCTTGAGAAGAGATGGTGGTAATGGAGGTCCAGAGGAGTTGGAGGTAAAGGAGAAAGAGGAAGTGTAGCAGTAAGGGACAGAGGAGTTGAAGGAAAAAAGTTTGTGGAGGAATTATCTTTGACTATTTGGTTATCCTAGAGCGATCATATGACAGTAACTAAAATTTAGGACCCATGTATACTGTATGCTATTCAATCTATTCTTATTTGCCCTTCTTTTCATTATATTTTTGTAAAATATTCAATTGTGGCTCAACTTTGAAACTAATGTTAATTTTTAGAAGAATAGAGGAACTTTTTTTGACTTAATATACCTACAGGAACATGCCTAAACTGATGTATATCACACTTTAGTGCCCATATTTGAGAACATATAGGAAGCAGAGAGCTTGTCTTTTCTGTATTTTGCTTTTTTTTAAAGTTAACTTCTTATTTCATTTACTTCTATCCTTTTGTATGAAATATCTAGAATAGCAAAGAGAACGGGTCAAACTATCAACATTTTGATCATTTTTTCGGGTCAAAACTGAAACCAATGTTGAGTTACTGGAATGTTGATTTAATGTAGGTGAGATATATATAAAACCTACCCAATAGTGCACAAGAAGTCATTATATAAACATTCAAAAAATGATGAACCAAAAATGTTTGTCTTGTAAAGCATCATATTAGAATATGATTCTTTTGCTTCAGCAAGAGATATCATTTTATATATAAGCTAAACAAGAAGAATGATTCAGCTTACCTACCTCAAATGTTATGACTCTGTATCTTTTCCCTTTTGGCTCTGGATTATAGATTATAGTTGCTTGTTGATCATTTAAGAGCATGATTTCTCTCAGTTCAGCAGTGGATATGACTTTGAATGCAAGTTGGGGGGAATAATAATTTTGCCTATATGCCAAATGGTTTGAATCTGGATATATATTGTGCTTTGTCATTCATGTTGTTCTTGATGATGATGATGATGAGTGATGCCAGGATAGATGGCCTGGAGTTATAAGACAAACTTATTAATTTGGGTGGCCTAATAAGAAGGGGGAAAGTTATTCTGGTGAAAATTATCATCCAAAAATATGGAAATGTAGATGGTTGAGTTGCCCATACTTCTTTGTGCATATCTTTTTGGTTTAGTCATAGGTTAAGCCAATGCTAGATCTACATTTAAGTCATATCAACTTCTTGCTTTATTTGTTATTATTTTATTTTGTAAATATTTCATAATTTTTATCGGCTATTTTGTGATTTATTTTTGGTTGCATGCAGAGTGATTTTTGAATCCCAAACAAATTGAAGAAAAAAGGGTTTAGGCATGTTTATATGTAAGTCAAGTTTGCATGAAGGACTGTCAGATGAAGTATAAGTCAAGAATTCTTCCTTTTTGTTCCCTTTTTTTTTTGATATATTCCCTTTATTGTCTTTCTCCTTTTCTTTTCTAAATAGTTATGCTATAGCATTATGATTTCTTTTGCCTCTCTCTTCTTATTTTTTTGGACATATTTCTACCATAGCATAAAATCCAGTTGCACTATGTAATTATTTCTAACCGAAATTATTCTCAAAGGCATGCATGTTCGTTCAACTTGGTTATTTGAAGTGGCACTAAGAGCAAATTAGAGCAACAAATGAAATTGAAAAACGGAGTAACCAAGAGCCATTCTTGACTCTGACTTATTCAAAACCTAATTTTGTTTTGAGTGTTTGTTGCCATATAATTTGAATTCTGGCATTTAAAAATTGCTTAATATATATGAGATTTCTATTATTTTAATGTTTGGTACAATAATTGATAACGAACTTCCAAATGTGCAGGAAGAATCCACATTTATTTCTCTGGAAGATGATGGGGATTCCCGGGAATTTTTTGGTCTTATTAAGAAGGTGAACAATGCTTCTGAGCCCAAAAAGAGAGAGAAAACAATTACATGTAAACAAACAATTTTCATTTGTGCTTTTCCTTTTTCTTTTACATACAAAATTTTATGACATCAACATTTTCATGTGCTCTTTCTATCCTCTTTACATGCTTGCAGCTGACTTTGATAGACTGCTAGTGAGGGGAAGCAACTATAGCTCTTCAAAGGTAAAATATATGTGATTATTATTCTACTAGTGTTTGAGACTTTGAGTTGTGCATGTTAGGTTTGTTGATTACAAACTTTTGGTAAATTGGATGCAAATTGATTTTCCTTTGATTTGCATGTTTTTGTTTTACAAATATGGTAGCTTCTTATGCCATGCTTATAATGTTTAATAATTGGATTCGTTCCAGTCTAAACAAGGCATCCTTTCAAATAATTAAAGTCACCATGCAGGCATCTTTTCTTGGTCGAGCAAAAGGTTCTTCGATGCCATATTCACACAAACAAGGATCAACAACTGCCCGGGCATTCATTTTTGGTCGAGATGATAGTAATAGCAGGAGTTGTCTGGCAGCCTCTGAGAACCATCAAAATGTGGTAACTCTAGACGTTCATGGCTCAAACTTTTTTGATTTTTTGTTTTATTTTGCAATTGTGATATATTGACATTCTTCAAACTTCAAAGAAGCATAAGCTTTAACTACTTACTCTCTCTCTCTCTTTTAATTTTTATTAACATTATTTATTCTTGTGTTTCTAAAAATTTATTTCTAACTACTTCCATCGATTCAAGAAAATGATTATTTCTGCAGAGAGATAAAAAGTGATTTTTTTTTTAAAGATGAGTTTTCTCATAGGAATTTTCTTCTTGTTGGCATGCCTCATTGGTAATGTGCTAGCCAGCATGCCCCATGCTGACCAACTAAGCCAAACACATTATAAATGATGTCTAAACAACTTGGCACAACAAAAACCTCAAAATTGGAGATCTTGGTACTTATGGCTTCAGTAACATGTATTCCATCCAAATCTGATTATGAATTCTTTGTAATCCAAGATATAAATATTGATATGATTTGAGCTCCGTTCCTATCAGGATATTTGAATAGTTAGAAATATCTAAAACATAGAAGTATTCTAGACTTCTAGTTAATTCAATCAGAAATGTTCTTTGCAACATGCTTTATATTCTCCTTTTGTTTTTTTTTTCCTTTCATTTAGGTATCTTGTTCGACAAATTTCGTTTAGTGTCATCTACACCTATTTCTGCATAAATTTTGCTTTCAAGATACACTTTGGATATGTTGATCACCATGGAATATTGCTTTGAATAGTAGATTTGTATGCAAGCCTACAATATTGGTATTCTGCAATATACATGAATTTTCCAATATCTTAATTGATTCGATATCAGTGCTGTAGCATATCCTAATTCTCAATCCTGTGTTCCATGCCTTTTAGTGTGTCATTGAATGTGTTGTTGGTCTTATGGTTGTGTTCAACTAAGCCAACTCAACTTGTTCAACTGCTGGGTCAGGTTGGATTTGGTGCTCTGGGTTTACTTACCCACTAGGCTTTGCAGACCAAATAGGGTTGGTTTGGATGACCTCAAAGTCAAAGCCCAACCCGTATTCAGTCTTTAGCTACTTTAACTTGGCTCAGACTTGGCAATATGAAGCATATACTGCCTGTTAATATAGAAATTGGGTTAGATTGAATTGGGTTATGGTTGAAGTTCATCACAGCCCAACCGACCTGAATTGCACCTATAGATTAGGGTCATGTTGGGATGTGTTAGCAATTAACTATCTGGTGTAGAGATTTTCTAATTGTACATTTTCCTTACGGGAAAGTGCACCCAATCGTATGGAAGCGCATCCAACGATGCTTTTAGATGAAAACTCATGAAACTTTGTTATTTTGATTTTATTTATCTTTTTTTTTTTCTTTGAAGTTCTCTTACATCTTGTATTTATGAAGAAAATGAAATGGAATTCAAATTTGGAATGGCCCGAAAGTTGGTATAGCAATGAGTCAAAACAGAATGGAAAATTTCAAACCATGATCAGCATCCATGCTGGATAGAGTGGAAATTTTCAAACCATCTGGATATGATCAAACTATATGAGAAGGGTGACTTATCTAGCAATGAGAAATAATATAGTAGATAGTGACTTGACTGCACATAGTAGTACTTTTCCAAGGAAAATCATTATATATATTTTAGGCATATATGAATGAATGAATGAATAATTCTTAACACACGAAGTTGGTTTTATGGTTAAAGAAATCTGATGGTATGTTGGCTGCACCCTGCAGGATGTGATGGAAAAACAACATAGGAAGCCTTCTTCAGCAAAGTTCAACGGCTCACAGGTGAAATCAACTTGTACATCGAAGACTGAGGTGGATACAAGTTCAGGTCCTTCATTGTTTGCGATCCTGCAGCAATCATCTATATCCTCTGGTAAACAAAGAATGAATAGTAAGATGCCAAGCAGCGATAAGTTATCAGAAACCCGAATCGCCAACCATTTTTCAGCATTTAGGCTACGCAGGTCTGCAAAATAGCAGAGAAGAAACAAATGGCTAACGCCAGAGAAAGCCCAAGGGGTAATTTGATCTTTTTGGACTCCTGGATCTACGACTCCTGCATGATTCCCAAGGACATCTGAAGCTTTCTTTAGTCTTAAATGTGGAGGTTGACTGCTGGACTTATTCGGAACAGCAAAGTAATTGTGACGGCAGTCTGCTTGATGATTCCATATATCTGACTTTTTTGTTTGTCGAACCTTGTGTTTTGTTCCTATGTAATTACTAGGTTATTCGTTTGTTTCTTTGAACTGGAGTCAAGGTTGCACTCGTGTCATGTAAAAGTTCTTGATGACGATTAAAGGGGATTTTGATTAAGAGCATTCGGACATCGTCTTACTTATAACATAAAAAAAGTCCCAACCAATCCTGTGCCACCCATTGACATCATAAACCTGAGCGGGCCATCATCATCCGCTTTGATCTGGATTTGGTCTCTCCGACAAGTAATGCTTCCCAGCCCACATTTGTAACTTCTCGGCGACTTTTCCCTCACCTCCTAGCAAATCTGTTATTAGGAATTCTTCCTGCGAGAAAGATGCGGCAGCCTCTTTGCTTGGTCTCCACCTGCTGCAACAGCTCCTGCTTCTTCCGCCCGAAGGTAACCTCACAGAGCAAAAGCTGCGATGCTTCTCCTTCCAACATCGTTTAGCTTTCCAGGTAACGCTAAAAACTTCTGCATAGGACTGGTCGAAGAGGCGAGAGGCTGCTCCGCTCCGCCAAGAGCAAGGAGGCGGAACCCCGGGAGGAGTCATGGAGCGGCTGGCGACTCCTCTGGTGGCCGCCACTGCAATCCTCGCCTTATCCGCTCCCGGTGAGCGCCCGCCCTCTTCCCCTTATTGCCCTCCGTCGCTGGTAATTATTTCGAGGCTGTCCTTTGGTGGGGGTCATCGGTCATCGACGCCATAATCTTTCTTGGAAACAGCTCTGCTATATGTACTGTTGTTGCACACGTCGACTCGTTGATGCGTGCGTCGTCGGTGACGTCTCATCCATGTGGTGTCCACATCGGCATAACGCCGTCGAATTCAGTCTCGGGTGAAGCCAAATGCATGCATATTTGCCATGTAGAAACCACATTACATTAGAAACCTAATAAGATTTGACTAGAAACAATTAAGACAGACAATCGATCTAATTAGATCTATTATTACATTACACAGCTGAATGGCAGAAAAATTCTTTTGAAGGCTTCCGAGCACACCGCCTTTGGAAAAGCCAAAGACTATTTTTATGCATGACAATCAAAATTTGAAGCCCATAAATTCTACAAATGGACCTTTGTTTTTGAATGAATGGCTTGGACTTTTGATCCTGAACGCAATACCTCATACGATGCAACAATGACCTGTATACATATCATCATCGAGACTTGCAAGTCATGTTTGGTTACTTGTCGCAGTGGCCTACGGCCAGTCTATATCGAATGGTGCGGCTCTGTTTCAGAAAGCATGTATCGGTTGCCATGACATGGGAGGGAACCTATTGCAGCCTGTGAGTGTTTTGATTTCCTTTCGTTTCCAATAATGTAACCAGTTTGGTGGTTCCACATCTGCCTCATTCGCTTGCCTCCTCCTCCTTTCAGGGTGCCACTCTATTCATGAAAGATCTGCAAAGGTAAGCCAGCCGCTGCTCTTCCGCATCTTTTTTTTGCACCCTGAGGTACGTGGTCTTCTTGTCTTGTGCAGGAACGGTGTTGCCACAGAGGAGGGAATATACGACATCACTTACTATGGAAAGGGAAGGATGCCGGCAAGTAGCCTCCTCTTACCTTTATGTTATTATTGTCTGCAACCGAAGCATCAATAGCTCTGAATCTAGAATTGTATCATCAGGGTTTCGGAGAGAGATGTACGCCGAGAGGTCAGTGCACATTCGGACCACGGCTGCAGGAGGATGAAATCAAGCTCTTAGCAGAGTTCGTGAAGGCACAAGCTGACAGAGGATGGCCAAAAATCGAAAGCTATGGAGATTGAGCTCTGCAGAAAACGAAAGTTCAGAAATGGCACATGGTCAGTAGACAAAGACGATAGACGTGTCTGATCCAAGTGATTTAGATTTATCAATGATCCTCGTTTCGATGGAGACGATGATATATCAATCCGAATGAGTGAGCCCATCATCTTAATTAAATGGAGAGATAAATTGAGGAGATACATATCTTGTAATATATCATCGTTTATTTTTTACTCTAAAAAAATAATTTTAATGTGACGTCTAGAAAGAAAGTAAAAAACTTTGATACTTTATCATAAGAGGATAAATAAACAATTTATTACTATTATTATTGGTGTCACTTTTAATCATATGATTTATGTGTAATCATCATATGCTTTAGATCTGTAATTTCACTTTTATAAGTTGAATGTGCAAAACAGATATACATTATTAGACTGTCAGAGCCTACAGGAAAAGAAAAAGGATCCATAAGACTCTTTCCCTTGAGAGTTCCGAGTCACCTCTTTGTCAATTACACCAACTTCACACATCAAGTAGATTGATTGCACTGAAACAACAATCTGATTATTCAAGGAGTAATGACACATCAAAACTTATTTAGGAGAAACATCAACATAATGAATGGTTGAAGGTACAACAATTGTACAATTTTTCTCAAAGTCACACTGACGAAACCTTTTCGAGTGATAATTTCAAAGAATCTACACCTTCTAAATTATCAAATATGCAAAAATATATAACTATTCTTGTGCTCAAAATCTCTATTTAGTCACACAAGCATCTAATCTGGATTCCACGGGTTACTCTTTTATTTCTTGCATCAGCATCGCATGCTAATCTAATCGATTTCATTAAGATCTGTCATTCAGAAGTTGACCAACATAGCTGAAGGCAGCTCCTCTTTGATTTCTGCTTACAAGTCCTGAATTTTCACTTCAGCACCCTTGCACCATCCCGTTTCTTGGGCATACCAAGAGGTCATTCCTTCAATGGAAAACACGATGTTTGGATGGTCGGATCACCCATGCAAAATCACAACACATCAAGACAATGGAGACAGTACTGATTTAGAAGCCTCTCCATAAGACTGTTAGGTTCAGGGATGTTTGGAAGGTCGGATCACCCATGCAAAATCACAACACATCAAGACAATGGAGACAGTACTGATTTAGAAGCCTCTCCATAAGACTGTTAGGTTCAGGAACCAAAGCAGATGTCATGCCATTCCAGAAATGAAATGTGATTGATTCATTCAGCATCCTTTTTAAAAGATCATCTTGTTCAGCTCTTTCAAATTGATCAGCAGGCTCTGCGAAGTACCTGTACAAAATCCATTCAAACTGTTGAGCGATAATGCTAGCATAGAGTACAGGTGGGTTAGCTTGTTGAACATGTCCAGCGATGTCAGAATTTTGCTGATAAATGTCATTTTCTTATGGAAAGTGATGCCAGGAATTAAGAGGGGTATGCAAGTGCAGTGTAATGTTTGTTGCGTATAAAACTAGAAGACTAGATGATACGGGTTATAAAGCAACACAGAATTTCCACAGAATTCCCTAAAAGAAAATTTTAAAGACGGAGCAAACGCCTCACTGTATACATAACGTAAAGGTCACACACTATAATCTTAGCAGTAGGCAAGCTAACTAACAAATTACTAGCCACATTGTTCTAACTAGCTCATTTAACCGAAGCTATTAGGAGAATGGTTAATGGTATGAAATTCAAAACAAAAGATCTATATCAAAGAAAGAAGCACCTTGTAATATTTATCGAACTGATAGGATGAAATGCAAACTGAGGTTCCATCTTTATGTCAAGCTGTAAAGAAGATTTCCCAGCCTTGTCAGAAATCCTTTTTATAACTCTTGTCATGAGATCAGCACCATTCCACCTTAAAAGGGTATCGTCATATGTTGAATAGTATTCGTTTAGGCACTCGAGCATCAAAGAACTGCAGACAAATATATAGATTTGTGAGAATTAATACACAAAGCTAAAGATGTATTAGTGGAAAAATGTTATACAAAATGATATGGCTGCTCTCAGATCAAGTAGTCATGTGAATCCTGTTGGAAAAATTGTGACTTATATAACCTAAAAGAAAGAAGCTACAATAGATTACAACTACTGATCTTTCAGTGGACATTGTAACACTTAACAGGCAAATGAAATACTATTATGCCGTGCGTTCTATTTTAGGCATCATTCTCAACATTCTTATTTCCATTTCCAAGTAAATTATCACCTCACAGAATGCATTTCTGAAACAACAGGATAATCTATCACACTTCATGAAAAATAACGCTCACATGTACGTAGCAAACTCAGTATTTAAGGTAAGAAAGTTGATTCCCAGCCATGCTTCTATTGTCAATACTTAAGTTGTCCTACTTTGCTTAGAACAAATGTGCAACTATGCGTTCTTAGTCCATATGGTCTGATTTGGGCAAAATGAAGATCTAAGCCACAGTCACTACATTTGAACCTGGAATACAAACACTAAAAGATAACTTCAGATGACATAATCAGGATCAAGACATCCTACATAGCATTATTGATCATAAAGTTGTATCAAACAAGTAGATTTGCCTTTATATCCATAAAACACATGAAGTTAGGCAAACATGTACAGTTTCAGTACCTGTTCTTTTCGAATGCCATCACTGCACCATTAAAGACTGAATTGCCACCTGTGTTATCCTCAATTGAAACAAAATTCTTCAGTGAATGCAGAGGGTTTAGAACTATAATATCTGAATCAAGGTATATACCACCATATCTGGATTATCAAAGGAAAAAAAACAAATATCTTTATTACAAAGGGCAAAATGGAACAGCTTCAGTGGTCATAACATTTACGATACTACTAAGTTATGTCATTTGCCATGCCTGTATTATGTGCCATATAGCTCATGGTTGCTTATGTAGTATGCAAATTACCTTAAATATACTTTCTTTATTGACGGGTGAGCTAATAAACTTTATAGGTTATTTTCCAGGCCCTCAATTTCAGTGCATTAACAACATGACAAATGAAAACATGGTGCTTGATAGTATCTGATAGTTGAAAGATAAGATGGAACTTGATGCTAACAAACAAATATAAATAAAGAGATGTTAGTACAACTACACAATGGATTATGTTTCGGAGATCACATATTTACTTAGGGTTGCAAATGAGTAAAGCCATTCACAAGCAAGTCAGTTTTCAACTCATGAAAAAGCTCATTTGCCAAGGTTATGATGCTCAATTATTAAATGAACCATTCTTGAACATGGCAAAGCTCCACTCGTTTAGGCTAGCCAATCGACTCACTAATAAGTTTGTGAAGATGCTCCCGAGCAGACTCTTCAACAAACTCATTTATGTATGACACATTTTAATTGCAAATTTATGTCTTACTCCCATTTAACAAGTAGGTGAGCAGGTGAAAAGAATTGTTCATTAAAAAATGAGACCAAAAGTCAACTCCATTGAGGATAGAACCAAAATCTCTAGTTTTGTAGACTATTGTCTTATCGAATGAACAAAATTTAAACCGAGATTGAGCTTGCAAAAATTATTATAAGTTAACCTTGAACATTATTTTAAGCATGATTTTGATTTTGGGCCGGGCTTGAGCTCCGCTAACGTAAGTTAAGCTGAGCCTGAATGGAGCAAAGCTTGGTCTGAGTTGGCTCATCAATAAGTTGAATATTAACTAGTGACTTGCCATTTCATCTTATATACCATTAATAAGACACAAAGAAAGAAACTTAAACTCTTTGCTTGTTTGTGCTGGAATGTTAGGTGTTGTAAAGAAAAAAAAATCGAATAATTAAGTGACAATGACCTTGTTAGCCTATAGTTAAAATGTGTTTACTGTTTTATATTAAACTCTAAAATAAATATTATGTGGTTATAGTCGAGAGACCATCTTTGATGCTACTGCCTTTTAACTTGTACCTTGGTAGCACATAGATCAAGTCAACAATGGCACATGGACATGGGGACATGAATGTAATATGAATGCATATCCAAGTATTAAATTCGGCAAAAGACAAAATGGAGATACAGGGACACACATAAGGATAATAATTAAAAAAATATATAACACTGATGTTGTAATACTATGAGTATATGGAGTACCACAATTTAAACTAATCATAAGATTTAGAATCATAAACCCATCCACTTATATTGCTATTATTGTTTGACATTGGGATAGTACAACTAAAGATTCTGAAAAGAAACCAATTTGTTATGTAATATATTAGCATAAAAATATTTCATAAATTTTACTTTATAATTCCTTGGTCTAGGCATAAACCAAAAGTAGGAATCTTCCCATGGAGATAAAACTTCTTAATCATAAAGTTAGAAAGTGGATGAGAATTTGGCTCTGCTCACTTTCGCTTGTGGAACTCTAGGAGGTCTAGAGACTAAGATTCATAACCAACATTAGATATTTATTTGGAATGTGTTTGTCATTCTGATCATGTTGGATGATCAGAAAGTTGAGAAATTCATAATCTTAGAAACATATATATATATATATATATATATATATATATATATATATATATA